AAACATTTAATAACCAAATGAAAAAAATTCACTTTAGAAAAATTCGGAAAAGAAAAACGAAAAAAAAACCAAAAAATAAATAAAGAAAATAATGGAAAAATTTGAAATGAATAATTAAAAATTTGGGGAAAAAAAGCAAAAAAAAAAGAATAACCGTGGTCCAATTATTCAGCTTCCCCCCCCCCCCCCCCCCCGATGATGTAGGTCGCATGCAAAAAGTTGTCTGAGTTAAACGTCCTTGATATTAACAATACATGAACTAAATCTACTTTCAAACAAACAACCACGCAGAAAAACGTTGCTCTAACATTTTGATATTGGTATAAAAAAAGGCTCGTTGATAACATGGAGTTAAATGAAATAGTTGATATATTTACAGACCTACATGTACAATTAGAGCAAAAGCACAGATAAGTGATAAACAAACTACGGTAAAGGAACACCGTTAACTTTAGAAAAGTAGATTGTCCAAATAAGAGGTGACAGGTGTCAATGTTGCAAGAAATCCCCAGCAGTCAAAGGCCAAACTAGTAAAAAAACACAGAAAGAAAATCAACTTCCAACTTAGACACTTTGACCACAACGTAAACTTATTTTTCAAAGTAATGTCAAGTAAGGCTTTAGATAAAATTTTAGGCTAAATTCCCTTTCGCTGGGCTTTACCAATTATTAAAAGGTTTTTCATTTAGCGAGGAGGATAACCTGCTGAAAGTACAGTTTGTGGTACTATACGGTATGTAAAAAGCCTGCTTTCCATTTGGGGAAAAAGCTTCTCCTTTGTCAGGTCGACACGGTTGAATAACCATTTTTGTTTTGCATTAACTGATTACTACTTACAATATTAAATTACAAGATTATATAAGATTGTTCTGCGATAATATACAAGTACAATGTTCATGATTTATTTGTTGCCATCATATGTCGTGTTTTTCTTTAAAATCCGTAATCAGCTCTGAGGTATATTAGCCAGGTCCAAGTTGTTCAAAAGGTGGTTAACGCTATTCACCAGATAAATCTATATCCACTGCATAGCGCAATTGGTTTCCCTAATATTTATCCACTAGATAGTGATTTATTCAGTCGATAGTGCTATCCAGCTTTTGAACAACTAGGGCCATAGTTGAATCTCAGCTTCGTGGTAAGCTTGATATTCCCCGGGGAGGGGGGAGAGGGGGGAGACTCCGCATATGAAATGGGTGTCGATGCTCGTCGTCTCGCTTTGGGGAGTAAATTTCGGATTTTGGTCTCACTTAGGGTGTTCTGGGCAAAACGCCATCATAGGTAGCCGTGAAGGTCTCATTTAGGGTTGCACGCGAAAAAATATAGAAATATATATTTGATATGCATATTTTTTTCGTCTCTTTTAGGGGTCAAAAAAAGCTTGGACCGCGCCCATATTGGTCTCCTTTAGGGGTTTAGGGGTTTAATTCAAAATTTTCGACGAGCATCCCCAACCCTTTCTTATGCGGAGTTCCCCCCAGTAATGTTCTTTCTTGGTAACAGGTTTTCTTGGAATTTGTACATCCTATTTCTTATCCCTTCCTTGTTATCATGTTGCTGATTTCTCCGAGTGGTTATTTACCCCTTTAGTGGGGTCATACATTTCTGTTGACGCTGGAATTTACACGGCGTTGTGACGCTTATTTGGTTATGTAGATATGTACAGCAATCTCAGTCATTCAGATTCTTAATTGGTAGTGATGTACAAGGAATTTATGGAGATGCCTCAACGTTGAAGGGTTAAACAATCTTGTAAGTGATCAGGTATTCTGGATACGCCTGTAAACAACAAAGGAAACAAGGACGAAGTGCGTCATGAGATAATTAACCAAATGGCACATACAGTTTTTTAAAAAGACACTGGCATCATATTATCATAACCAAATCTGTATTTTTTGAATAGCACAAATCAACAAGGTCAACCGAGCCGGACTTTTTGCACTCTTGGACGGTGGTTTTGCCCAATTTAAAGGCAGATCGTCCCTATTTGCTAGTGTCAAGGCATACCGTAAAATTCCGAAAATAAGCCCCGGGGCTTATACTTTTCAAAGGCCCTTTTTGAGGGGCTTATTTTTGGAGGGGCTTATATTCGGAGGGGTTATCTACGGAGGGAAATGTGCGTTTCAAAACGATTGTAAGCTTTATAGGTGGATGGAAATGTACCGTTTTTGCTTTGTTTTACTTTGTATTTGAGAGCAATTTCCGAGTACAAGCTCCCCCCGGGGGGGGGGGGGGGTATTTTTGGAGGGGCCATTTAAGGGAGGGTTTTTTGTGATACCGGTCTGGGGAGCATATATTTGGAGGGGCTTATACATGGAGGGGCTTTTTTTCGGAATTTTACGGTATTAAAAGGGTAAAGGCCTCACCTCCGGTTCAGGTGTGTCGCTCAAAATATCTATGCTTTAAGTCAGTGGAGCGCCTGTTCCCCGCGGACAACACTGAAAATCTCAAAAATAAAGGAAATTACGAATTTCTCAGGAAAAACGCGGACTTTGATACGTTCACAAATTAGAAAACCTCATGGTGCAGGGGTTGGACGGTATGAAGATTCTGTTGCACATAATTTAGCTTTTGTCAATCTGGCTAAAAAAATGTTGAGCAAAGTCGCACCCGATATAATCAGTTGGGGAAGTAGTCAAATTTGAAGGTCGCTACTAACCACAAGTGCAACGAGAAAAGAAAAAACAGCTCTAAAAAGCAAGACATACCTGTTCCCCTCTATACACAACATATTCGGCCAACGACAGCCCTTCTGAGCGGGACGTCCCATAACTGAATGATGACCAGGAGGGGTGTGCGCCATCTTGCTGGCTGAAAACTGGTAAAATGGCTTGCCAAGGGCCACACGACATAAAAGAAGTTGCCTGTCAGATAACAAACATCGCGCTGATTAGATAAGAACTAGAATGAAAACTTCCATTGGATTCAAATTCACATCAGGCCGGTGGCATTCATATAAAGTATTAATTATTAATTACTTAATAAATTGCGCCAAAAGAAGTGTGGCTTAAGTGTCCCAATCAGTGTTGTAATTAATTAAGGAAAACCTTGAGTAAAGCGAATAATGAAATATTTTCATTTTACAATTCAGGAAATGTTATCTAATGCAAGATGTCTTTTTTGGTTGTGAGCGAGTACCATAATTCGCCCCGGTTATCTCGGTATAATAAAAAAATGATGACTCGTAAAAGGAGCTAGTAATGAATTGAAAAGAATCTGCTAAATACCCCAGCCCCCTTGATCAAAATCTTAATTCTCCCAAACCTGCCAATGCTTTTAGACACTGACAGTAGCCTACGTTGCGGAATGTTCGAAACTCAATAGCCGGAGGAAAGGGGAAAATCGAGCACCCTTAAGCCAGCAGACAACCTCTCCATTTCAAGCAAGCGAGCCCGCGAGGGAAGATTCCCCTTACGCTCGTTGCTTGCGCGAATTTTTAATGGAGAGCTTTCCCGCAGGCTTGGCGCTCTTTTGCGCAGTTGGTTTAGCTGAAAAATACTACGTTCCGCAAAATACCTCTTAAGTTCAGGTTATACTTCTCTATTAAAAATATCCTTTAAATAACTTGAGCTGTTACCTTTCGCATAAGTAACAGGACTTGTCCTTGTGTAGAGCGCAGCCTGATCCACCACCAATACCATAAACATACTGATTGCTCTTCGAAGAGTCCTCCGCAAAGTAAATACCTGCACAAATGACATTGTTAGTTCTTCTCAAAATCTCTGCAATTCGTCTCGCAGTTTTTTTAGCAATAAGGTTGTGTTGCCCATTGTAACACCTCGCTGAATGAACGTGTCTCGAAAAATGTTTGTTAAAGCAAGCATCGCACGAAGGAGAAACAATTCTAACTTTTCCAAAGGCTTGGTCCAACGCAAAGGTCGCAAGACTTGGTTATTTCAGGGAGTAATATATTAAGCGACGCGTTCTTGGGGAACTTTTATCGCAGCGGCGCATTAAAATTTCAAGACAAGTTGCAAGAAAAATTGACTGAAGAAAAAGAGCCTATAGCAAAACAAAAGGGTAAGTTTTGGGCACGTTTAATACTTTTATCTTTTTATTTATTTTCACGACTGCCTCACTGAAGGTTTGAAATGCTTAATGCCATAAACGTGTTGTTGTTTCGATAAAACATTTTCACCTGCTCCAAACATCCCTCCAATATAAGCATGACGTTCATCGAATCCCTTTTGTAGAATAGCGTTGATGAATGCCGAACCTAAAAGAAAAGTAAGAACAGTTTGATGATGATTTACTCTTAACTTTAGAAAAAAAAAGTGACTGTTATCAACAAACTACTGCAAAGTAATCACATACCGTGAAATAACATTCTCTCATTACTGTGGTTGTGATTAGCCTCTGCAACCTACAAAGAGTGAATCGAGAGATAAACATTGCGTCTATCTTCGTTTATTTGGCAGAAGATAACCCACACGTGCAGGTAAATACGTGCAAGGGAGATTAAACTACCCAATGAAAAACAAACTCTTACCTCTCTTCTTCTGTAAACGTACTTATCCCAGAGTCTTTTGTTTATGACCCGCTGAATCTAAAACAGAAGGAAACAGAGGTTGAAGAAAGGAGAAAATGGACTTGCTGTTTTCTCGTAACATCCAGGCCACTATGTCACCAAGTGTTTGTATTACGGTCAAAAGCCAAATAAACAATAGAACACATAATGATCTTATGTCGTAACCAATCACTTTTCAAGTGCACTGACAGTGATTGGAAAACGACAAAAAGTTGAACAAGATAGGCTAAACTCTTTGGTTTTAAATCCTCTCAACTTACATCCTCTATCCAAAAAGAAGATTTGGGTGTATAGGAGGTGCGCGAATGATTCCGCGCCCCACCCTTTCGAGGTCTGTATTGACATTCGCGTCTGGTTCGCGCGTTCGTCTGATAAATGATGCGATAAAAATCGACGGCGTGAATATCCGATGACTATTATTTGTTTTAGGAGAGTTTAGTTCAACGAATCAAAACTATAAGGCTGTAAACTATGTATACAAAACTACTAACCCTGACAATTATGTAGGAGTTGAAGACTCCACCGGATTGGCCGCCATCTTTCTTGTGTTTCACAACAGTACTCTGCATCTGAAAACAATATACGTAAATATCATAAGTTCTCAAGTGGACATACGATGTGAAGAATTTCTACAGTTTTGTATTTTGGAGGAGATTAATTAGCTTAAGCGTCACACGAAGAACATTAAAAGTCTGCGGAATTCTAGCCAGCGTAGCAGACGGTTACAAAAACATGACGGGGAGGGGGTGAAAAGCCCAACCTTATCCCCTCCCCCACACAGTTACTATGGAGATGCAGTGTAAGCTATATTTCTACGAATCGGTTCAGGAGGTTAAAACAATGGCAGTTATTTTTTAGGAGACAGATTGATTAAGAAGAAATTAGCTCACCTCCTCTGCAACAGAAATGTAGTCCTTGTCGTCCGTAGGTAAGTCATGAACAACTGTTTCTTGTTGGCTTGAATAAGTGAAAGGCCCGCCACCTGAAACAGAACAAAACAAAAGATAACAACAACGATGAACATTATAGAAACAGCCTATGTCCACGCAAGTCCGTTTGTGACCGCACATGTTCCTAAATTTCAACTCAGCCAATGGCTACCACAATCGTGTTTTAACCAATCAGAAGCAGAACCTAAGCCACACGGGACTTGTCTACATGCTCTTTGGCGCTTTTGTCGCTTCGTACTCTTTGGGTCGGCTGGTTTTAGTTTGCGGATTTAAAAGGGGAAAAAAACTCTTTAATTAAGCTCATGGCTTTTTATCCGACAACCTCTATAAGTTCGTTCAGAAAATTCACTTACCCAGTTGTGGTAAGCCAGAGAGTTTTTCTTTAACTGCCTTGAGAATTTTGTGTCTGTGACCAAACGCGTGGATTCCAATCTCTTTAAGTTCCTCATGGCCCATGTTGACAAGCACATCCCAGGAGATCTGGACAACAAAACACACTGACAATCAGCAACGAAAGCAAATGCGTCCGACACAAATTGTACGCGGCACTCTCTGAAGGGTTTCATAGTATGGGCCCAGTTCGCGAGCCACCCAGGAGCCGCAATGATTACCAAGAGACTGGAAACAGTGCGCATGAGCTGTGTTACCCGCTTTCCCCTTGCTGGTTTGGTTCGGTGGGGTGTACGTCCAGACGAGAGTGATTACCAGGATCCCGGCTAACCGGCCTGGCTCGGTTGTCATCTAAACACAAAGTTAAATTTTGTTGAATAAAGATTCAGCTGTTAGGACATGATATTACGGAGAAATAATCTTTATCACCAACAAATTCTTTCTGTTCATTTTTCACATGCCAAGATTTTGGCGAAGCGAACAACCTCGTCTAATATATTTAGCCCTTTTAAGAGCCAGTGTCTGTAATTTTCGAAAATCGGTTGACAGTCGTGAATTTTTGAATTTCTTCATATTTTGCGCAAATAATCTCTATAGTACACTTATTTCAAAAATCCCATTAAAACTTGTGACGGCTTTTTATTTTTTCATGAATCGGGCAAAGTTTGAAAAACGCTAAATCGGCTCTCTTTCGAGTATGAAATTAGCGAAAATTAGGCATTTTCTTCGCGCTCGTACATAAAAACGGGATGATATCTCTCAATGAAATCAAGTCACAAAGCAAACACAGACTTGTACGTTATAATTCAGCAATTATCTTCAGATAAGCTGTTTAAATGTGACTGTGTCGGCCGCAAGAAGAAACACGATTTCGGCTCTCTTCAAAAATGGCAAATTTGACCTAACTTCACCATCGAAAAAACCCAATTGGTACATAGAGTTTCAACATGAAACAAACACTATTATAAAGCACATCCTTTGCCGTTTCTTGTGTTCAAAAATTTTGGCCCGCATTACAAAAGTGCGTCGCTGAGACACCGAAACGTGCAGGGTAGTTTCGCACGTTGGAACGCTGCAACAAACTAGCCGCGAGTGTAGGCACACAAACGTTTTTGCAAACTTAGCTTCTTTTATAAGGGGCACATTACGGGAAGCTCTTAAGATCTTTTGAAAAACACTTTTCAATTTGATGATTATAAAAAAGAACTAAGTAGATTAACACTGCATTTGATTGCACGCAAGTAGCTAAAAAAGACAACGCTGCTAATTTCGTGTTGAGTGTAAATAAATGAGATACGAGATCTATAAGAATTTACTTACCACAGTCGCTTCAAGTGCAAGTGGCCGCAGTTTACTGAAATTTTCCGTCGTTTAGCCACGGACTAAACCCTGTGTTGCGTGATGAAAGCCGGTGTGTGATTTGAGTCTTGTCACGCAACTGTACAGACAAGGATAAATCATCGCACGAGTGTACAAGAAAAAATAAAATGACAATTAACACTGTTTTTTTATTATTTTTATATTGAATGTTCCCCAAAACATGACGAACTAAACTTGATTTTAGGATGTACAAGCCGAAAGTCAAACAGAGAAAGAAAACAAATAGAGTAAGCCGAGTCTGCAAAACTTTTCACCCTAGTTTTCTTTTATTTGCACTTAGCCTTCTGAGCCTTTGCTTGTAATAGACTAATCTTAACCCCGCTTGGCGTATAGACTTCTCTGTAGATCTCCTCAGTATGAATTGAGGGATTTAGGTACACACTTACGCCATATGCAACATGAAGGTAGAGCAGGGAAGTGGAAACGAGTAAAACTGTTTAAAGAAAAATTGGCCAATGCTCCGCAAAAGAACATTCCTGAAAAACAACAAATCAACAATGGACAATGGACACATTTGATGAGCGAAATAAAAGTGTTTAACATGTTTAAATTACTGAAAGTAGTATTGCTTTGCTCCTCTGCAGCAAGGGTATCTTCTGGCTAGACCTCAACCTGCTGCTGACGATCTTATCCCCCGCCCATTAAAGGCCAGTCTACACGTTGTGGCGTTAGACCAGAATGCACGTACATGCTAACTCCCGCCTAAAAAAAGGAATAGTCACCTGGCTCCCTCCGCCACCACCCCCCGGCACTCTTTCGCAGGCTAGAGAATAAACAAATTCACTGACAAGTTCTTTTTCATAACGCCGAAATCCGACGCCTAAATAAAAAAATGCTTTAAAATGCCTCAGCCATTTTACTTATCATCTTTTAACCAAATACGTTGCGCGAAAAAGAGATAAAAGGCTGAAAATAGCCTTTCATGTCGATTTAAATTTCAGATGGAGAATGCCCTTTTCGCTAAGTCTGCACCTGCAGTGACCTGTGTGCTAAAACTCCTTCGTGGTGGACCCCTCTATGAGCAGCCAGTAGCCTGATCTAGAACGGTACCACGTGATTTGTTGCACCGCCACCGCGCACCCATACATTTAGCGGTGGTGAGGAAAAACTCTTATTTTCATGCGCCAATTTTGTGGATCAAACAAAGGTCACCTAACGTAAATGCAGAAAACTTTACTTTTATCATTAGCATGGTGAGGTCGATGTTTGGTTATTGCCCTACATACTCACGTGACTAACAAGTGACTCACGACATCTTTTCTATGATCGCAATACATTCAGCATTACTGGGGCCACAGGCGCCACAAACCAAGTTTGAATATGTGCGAGATGCTATACGAACATGCGTCAAAGAATTGCACCGTAAGACACTTATACCAGGAATTTCTTTGCCGGCGCGTTACGCGTCACGCACTTCCGGAATGTCATCTTCCCTCGTGTTGACAGATTGAAAATATACACAAACTTAACTTTGATTCTGCCTTGATGCAGAATTTAGTTAACGGTACTGTTACCCCGTCTAGCATTTAAGTTCAGGTAAGTAAATAACTTTTCTGATTTTAAGGTTTCAATACGATTAAAACTATAGCAAGCGAGTATTTCGACAATATTCCCCTCTACTAACTGTGATTTGAACTGCGTATTCGTGTCTCTTCATTACGGATTATCGCAAAAATCAGTTGAAAGGAATCGTGTTAAACCGAACAGAAACGCCGAAATATAATCTGAAACCGTTACAACTCTGACTAGGGTTTAAATGTCGAAGTAACTTACGTTTGAAAGGATTAATATTCCAAGCGTCGAAACTTGCTTGTTGCACGCGCTTTCCTGGTGTCAAAATAACCTTCAGGTTTTGGTCTCTCGACGGTGCGCATTTGGAATGCCGCCAGAAATATTTTAACACAAACAACAGCAAAGGATATGCTTTAATACAGTTCTTGTTTCATATTGAAATTCCATGTACCAACTGGGTTTTTACGATGGTGAAGTTAGGTCAAATTTGCCATGTTTGAAAAGTGCTGAAACCGTGTTTCTTCTTGCAGCCGGTACAGTCTCATTTAAACGGTTTATTTAAAGTTAATTGCTGAATTATAAAGTAAAAATATGTGACTGTTTTGTGACTTGATTTCATCTAGAGATATTATTCCGTTTTTATGTACGAGCGCGAAGAAAATGCTCAATTTTCGCTAATTTCATACTCGAAAGAGCGCCGATATTTAGAGTTTTTCAAACTTTGCCTGATTCATGAAAAAATAAAAAGCTGTTACAAGTTTTAAGGTGATTTTGAAATTAGTGTACTATAGAGATTATTTGAGCAAAACATGAAGAAATTAAAAAATTCACTACTGTCAGCCGATTCTCGAAAATTACAGACATTGGCTCTTAAAGACTGTATTTTCTAGCTCCCAAATGCTACTTGCCTGTTCTTTTTCAAATATATCCTTAAGGTTATTGAGCTGAAGGCTGTCAAGGAATTCTCCTACATCAAGATCCAAGCCAGGGTAACCTAAAAAGATATTTCAATCGCAATAGTTAGACAGGGAATCATCCTCAACTTCAATCATCGACCAAAAGCCTTGCGACAAATTTGCGTTTGTGGGGCTCTTTTTATTTCACACATAGCCAAGCCCACGCCATACCCCACAAACAACGTTGATGAGTATATCCTTAGTTTCACCATTAAGGTGGAGGGGTGGGAAGTACTATCGCATCACTGTCACTTTTGACTTTTAACCAGGATTGCAGTTACTCGGGTAAATTAAGGCATGAGTCCCCAGTGATTCAGTAAAAAAGTGATGGGGGGTGGTCTATCTCTGAGCACGTGAGCAGTAGAAAGATGAAACTTTGCCAGATACATACATGTGTGGTTTCTGTCAATTAGGTGATGTTCAATTATGCAAATGTTGTCACGTGACTCCACACGGCCAGAAAACAATAAAAAGTCTTTAAACAAAAATGGCAACACTTTTTGTTGTGAGTTATTAAACCGGACTGGTTTAGGACAATGTGTATTGCAAGCATCTACAAGACTTTGCTTTGCCTTTTTTGAATTTTTTACTGTTTTAGAAAATAAACGGCTTTTTCAACTAAACCCAGTCCCCCAAAGCAATTGTATCCCATCTTAACGCCTTCGATTTTAAATATCTAAAAAAGGCCAAGCACAGAAGTGATACATTAAACGGCATTAACATTATGCAACCGGTAAAATAATTGAAGACATACGAAAAAGTGTTGCCATTTAAAGAACAAGCTTTTTCAGCCGATGGAGGTCACGTGACCTAATTTGCATAATTTTAAAGCACAAAATTGACACAAACCAAAAATGTGGTTAGCTGGCAAAAATTTATGTCTCTTCATCTAAAGCTCTTAGATATAGACCACCCCCTCACTTTTGAAGAGAGCAAATTAAGGCAAATTGAGGCCCATGCCTTAATTTACATGAGTACAAAGAATTAATTTTGCCGGGGATGTTTAAAAGTTTTAAGGTGCAAACTGGGGACTCTTAAGTCCACCTACTTCGTAAGGCTGAGCACCGTGACTCAATCCCAGTAAATACCTGGAAGGATAATTCTCGTGTCGCCAGCACCTTGTGCCTTGGAGGGGGTGGAGTGAAGAGATGGATGACATTTCAGATTTCAGACTTAAGTCTTTCATGCACCAGCTACAATCTACACATTCTGTGAATAAGATGTATTACCTTGACAAGGCGTTCAGCCACTTCATAATGACCATAAGAGCAAGCATTATGGAGAGAGACCATTCCTCTAACAGAAATAGAAACCAGAGAAAATACACAAAGTTAAACCACCTTGTGCAACCGACAGTGATAATATTACGTGAGGAATAGGCCCAAAATTCCTCATTAATGAGAAAAGTACCATAGAAATTATGGCGCATATATTAAGGACCAAAAAATGTTCTTTCATGTTACAGAGAGTCAACTACAATAAAACAGGTTCCTGTAAGTGAAGTTTCCCTGTGCTTTTGAAGTACTTGACTGAAACTGCTAGTCTATGGCTGCCAATAGACCTCTTTAGCTTGTATGGTTTGTTTTCCCAAAACAGGTCATGTGATACATGTGATACTCTAGAGAACTAGTGTTTCTTTCAAATTTCGTTTTATTCAAATGCATATGTACACACAATTTATGAAAAGACAAAGGTTCAAGTTCCCCTAGGACCTCTATTAGGAAAACAAAACATACAAGCTAAAGAGGTCTATTATCATACCATGGGGTGCAGGTACATTCTGACAACTGATCATTATGAGAAAAAAAATCGCCATATCACCTGAAAGACAGCCTTGTATACGAGTGACCACTAACACCACAATCAGATGATGTAAAATGTCAAGTGCATACAGTGAAAAATACGTGTAATGTGTTGCAGCTACAGCCGTGAGTGGTTATTTGTGATTGTAAAGGTTTTATATTGATTTTAGTCAATTTACCCTTTGTCCTTGGCATACACATCAGCTCCATTCAGCATTCCACTACTGTAACTCTGTTGTAACCAGCAGCAAATGAAGAGAGGTGCTGTGTCGTCCTTCAAGATCTCTGCAGTTTACAGTCTGGGGTGTACATAGTGATTTCTATGGTGGAACACAAAGAATAAACTTTCTTTATTGATTGATAAATAAGTACACAAAGCACAAGTTAACGATAATAAGATGCCAAAGCCAGAGGCTCATAGGGCGTAGGTCAGAGAGTTACAATGTGCAGCTAAGTTGCCCATTCGAATTAATTTTATCTACGAAAATATCATAAATAGATTTCGTTAGCACTTGCCTTACTTTTCAATCGAGCTATAACGGTGTGTTGAAAGCGTTTAACGTCGTGAAGCTGTTTGTTTACAACCACGTAAGAAGGATCTGATGACACCATTTTGTAATTTGACCGCCTTTTTCACAGGGGTCTTCCCTGCGCTCTTCCAAGTCTCTTCCAAAATACCGTCATGCGCATTGCCTTGCTTACTAAAAATATTTCAACAAATGTCTAATTTTGACATTCATCACTGATCTTTAAATAAGAGAGTTGTGCGTTGACTTGCCGGAAGTCAAAAGTAACTTAACCAGAAGTTGATCATACTCCACTCCACAACGTCATTCCCTGCTTTCGAGTAAAGCGGAAGCCTTCCATCTAGCGAAACACTAAACTTCCGGTCATGTTATCCGGGATTATCAGCGTCGTTGTTACTTAATTGAAGAGGCTGGTTTCTCAAGTTTTGAGAACCACGCCCGGCTGGAATAGTGATCAAGCAGATGGCGAGACCGAACATATTTGATCACACACTTCCCATTCAGATAAAAAATGAAGGTGTCTACCTTTAGTTTCGCAAATTGGCTGCGTGGCAAGGGTTTCCTTGAACCAGGGCAAGCACGGTTAGGGCGAGGGTAGAGAAAAAAGGTGGCATGCACGCAGACGTCAGGAGCCCGCTGAACAGGCGAGCTAGCATTCTCAGAGCCCGTCGTTTCTTGGTCACGTGGTCTTGACGCATATGAAAAGCGAGAACCCGCCAAAAGTCATTAACACGTCAAACTTTTAAGTTCTGTAAGTTTTACTAACTGATTTTTGGACGTTGATGATTTTCTAAGATCTTGCCAGATAATAAAACCAAAAAATAAACTGATCTGTGAAAACAACATGAGGCAAGCACTCGCTTGAAATTGGCTAACTCCGTACGTAGTTATGGGCTCCTGGAGAGGTCACTTTTTCTGCACATATGAACCAAATTGAAGGAAGTTGGGGGCGGCTGCTTTTAAAATGGTGGTAAGGCTACCGTCTCCCCAACTTTCGCGCTTCTTTCACACGGTAACCGTGTTTGATTCGCCGGCTCTAGCGAACAATTGCCATAAACGTCTTATAATTCATTACCGTTTTTTTTTGTACAAACATTTCATCAGTTACTGATGTGAACGCTAGCTTGGGATACCTGTGCCATCGACTGACAGCAAGTCCAAAATTCATCAGTTCTCTTTTATTGTACACTTCAGTTAACCAGTTGACTTCATTTCCTTATTCTTTTTTTTTGTTCATTGTGTTTCTCTTTCGCTTGGATTCATGTCAGCTTTTCAATTACAATGAAAAACACTGAGTCCTATCTGGTTACACTGCTTAGCAAACCGCACCCATAATCACATGATTTCAAGGAGCCATCGCTTGCAGCTCTAGATTCACCATGGATGTTCAACAGCTCTTTACAGTTCTTAAGAAGGAAGCTGAATGCCCACTGTGTTTGGAGACAGTCAATAATCCCAAGACTTTGCCATGTATTCACTCTTTCTGTCTTGAGTGTCTTGACAAACACGCAAATTTTGCAAGAAGACAGCTACAAGCGACAATCAAATGTCCGGTTTGCCAGACATCTTTCCAAATTCCTGAAGGAGACTCGTTCAAGAATTTGCCTGCATCTTATCATCTCAACCGATTGGTGGATGTTCTCGCTCTAAAAGATGGCGGCACACAGACCCGGAAATGCAGCAGTTGTGATGAAAACAATGCTGCTTCCTCTTACTGTTTCGTCTGCCAAATATTCCTCTGTACTTCTTGTTTTGAAGCTCATCAGCGCCTAAAGACCACAAGAGGTCATCGCAATGTTGTGATAGAGAAATTAAATGTGCAAGATGTTCAAGAGTTGATCCACAGACCCGCCATGTGTTCACAGCAATATCACGAAAATCAGCCGCTGGAATTTTATTGCGAAGAATGCAAAGTTCTTATTTGCCAGAAGTGCTGTATAGTAAGCCATAATCGACACACCATGACAGACACTCAGAAAGCCGCACAAGTACAGAAGATGCAAATGAAGGGCGCTTTGGAGAAAGTGAAAGCGGAAACTGTAATTTACGAGAACGAAATTAGGAAACAAACTGAGCTGATGGACAAAACAAAAAATGAGATTTTGTCAGCGGAAAAGAAGATGACAGATG